CGGTTATTACTAAGTTTTTCTTAGTAAAACAGAAACTGCAGAGTTATTTTATTAAGTTTAATAGTAAAAATCCACCTGTTACTAAACTTACTTTGTAAAAGATATCTTTGAAATTTTTTAGTGCAATTACTAATAATTTTCTTAACTAAAACTTTAGAATAACTTTATTTTAATAATCATTGTAAAATTAAAAAAATTTTATATTCGATTCAATTTGAAAAAATCAAATCAAATTCAAATTGCTTAAATATTTGATTCGATTCGATTTTGAAGAACCCTAATTCTAATAACTTAATTATTTTTTGAATAAAATTTTTTTTAAAAAAAAATATATATATATCTAATTTTTAAATCAAATGAAATTATTTTTAAAATATAATTAATTAATTTATATTTGTTTTTCATTTGTTGATAATAATATAGTTAAAACATAATATATAATATTAGATAATTCAAGAATTCATTTTTATGTTAAATGTTTTAAATTTCTATTGAATTTAAAATTTAAAATTAGTTATAACATTTAAAAGACTAATTAGTACTTTAGAATTTTAAATTGATTTTGTTTATTTATATCTTTTAAATTTTGTAGTGGTTTTAGTAACCAAAAAAATCTTTGTAGATTTTTAATTTGTTAGTAAATACTAAGATTGCTTAGCAAAATCAAGTGTTTAGATAGACGTCTAAATGGTAAAGATAAAACTTGGTTAAATTATATTAAAATCTTATTAAAAAATCTGCGAAATTCAGAAAAGGTAAAACTATATTAAAGCTTATAATAATGGTGAAACCATATTAAACACTTATTAAAAATTTAGTAAAACTAAATGTTATAACATTTAGTCAAATCCAAAATGAGTTTAGACAAGCAACTTTAGTAAATACTTTTACAATGATTTAGAACTTCTTTTACAGATAACTATAAGTATAAATTTCACAAAGTTATCTTTAATTAAAGTTAATAATTGATTAAGAAGGTTTATTCCTTTTATCATATTTGATTTATTATTTATAACAATAGTGAAAATTATATAAATTAGCAATATTGTTCAATCACTTGATATAATTTATTACTGATAATCTCTCCTATATGTGAATATTACAAAAAATTGCAAGTAAGTAAAACTTTATAAAAAGTAAAATCAGAAGTAAGCTAAGTAACTATTACTTTAATGTATTTATAATTATTTTTAAAAGTTCAAAGATTGGTAATAAGATGAATTAATGTAACTGCATTTTCAAGTAAGTTAATAAGTTAATATTTACTTCAAATATATGCTTTATGAATATAATTTTTTGCTATTTTATTACATAGAATTGCAAATCCATATTCAATAATCATTAATAAATTTATAAAATTATCATTTCTGAGTATATATGAGCCTTTGCAATAGAAAAGAAAAAATTTGCCAAAAAAATCAAAAATGAGTTGATGCTAAATTTGAGCATATTTCAGCCTAAAAATCATATTTAACATATACAGTAAAAGATAAATTAATTTTTCCCAGCAATTTCCCCCTTTCTATTGCAAAGGCCCTATATAATGAATAAAAAAATTTAACAATAAATTCTATCAAAATATATGCAAGTTCTTTCTGTCGAGTATTAACGTTAATATATTTGATAATTATTATAAAATTTAAAATATTTTAGATTATAATTTTTAAATTCTATAAATGTATATTTTTTAATTTATACTCATTATTTACATCAATTAATTCCAAAAATTATGTATCATGTTTATCTCGTAAATAACAAGATATTTTCGACTATAAGGATAAGGCTTTATTTTAGTTTGTTTACAGATTTTACAATATGTATGTTATTTCATTATTATTTGGACCCTTATAACAAAAAAGTAGTATGACTTCTATTACTCCTTAAAGCTGGTCTATCATTATCTGAAAATACAGCACTTAAAATATTTTTTTTCAATTTGCATTAATTATAAGTGCTTTCAGAAAAATGAGTAATTGTAGAATCAGAGTCAGACATAGTAACTTAAAAGTAGTGAAAAAGGGTGAAAACGAGAAAAAAATATTTTTTCATTTTTAATTTTTAATTTGAAGTTTGATCACATTTGAATAATATTTAATTATTAGGATAATTACCTAAAATAAAAATGATTGAAATGCAAGTTTATATTAAAAGGTTTAGCAACTTTTTTAAAAAATTAAATTGTTATTTGATCGATAATGCAAGTTTTGTGGACATTCTAATTTTATTCCTAAAAAGGTTACTAGTAAATTCATTTAAAAAAAAAAATATTACCTTAATTTGTCGTTATAATTTTTATCGAATGAATGAAAGAATAAACCGGATTTATTATATTCGGATGAAACGAAGGAATCGTATTCGGATGAAAATAAATTCAAATCGACGGAAACCGAATTTAAAATCGAATGTTAAATATCGGATCCAACCTCTATCAACCTTCGATAAAAACGCTATTACGAATGTGTAATACTGAAAATCAGATATATGATAATAATGACAAATTAATTCGTTTCAATTCATCTAATTACTATGGAAAAGGCATCAAAAGATTAAAAAAATGATGCCAAGAAAGAAAGAAATAAGCGGAATTTACCGGTATTTTTTGGAAAAATGCCACGAATTATAGAACACGCAAATTCAAAAAGAATACACTTGGTGCTTCAGACATATCGTTAATAAAAATTTTAAACCACCGTTTACCTAGTAAGATTTTGGGCACAACACAACAATATTATTTAGTATTCAATTGCTGAAATGAAATTTAGCTATAAAAATTTTTTTTATTTTAAAATATATGTGCTCAATGATTTACCAGATGACATTATTAAAAAATAATTATTATGCCGAAAAAAAGCTAAATTAACATAGTAAGTAAGGCCTTTAACGATGTTGATATTCTGCAAATAAATACGACTAGAATTAGCATCTGACGCATATGACGTCGTGATTCCTTTGTTTCATTGATAGATTTTTGTTTTCGATAAATATAAAGAGGGCTTCAACTGCCTCAACCTCATTACAAATCTAAGAAATTTTCTTTGCTTATTGTTGAGCATTGTATTTTTGTATGAAAACTTATAAGAAAGTCTAAATGAATGACTTATATACTATTTTATAAGATTCTAAGGAATATTTAAACGATTCGAAGAATTCGCCGCGCGTCAGGACAATCTTCTTCTTTTACTGCACTTTCTCCTTTCCATCATTCTTTACAACACTTTCTTCTTTCCCTCCTTCTACCCCTTCAACAGTTTATCTTTTCCTTTCCTCCTTCTTCTACAGCTGCTCCTTCTTCTCCTTTTTCTTCCATTTCTTCAACATTTTTTACCTTACCTTCTTAATTTACCCCCTTTCTTCTTTATTTTTGCATTCCATGTTTCCCATTTGCTCTCCTGCTTCATCAATTTCTCCACTTTTCCTAATTTAGCTTGTTTTCCCTTCTTTTTTTACTCCTCCTTACGTACTCCCTAATACGATTTCTTATCTTTCGCCTCCTTCAGCATCATCATCTTCATCATCTTCTTCTTTCATCATCTCTTCATTATATTCATCCACCCCAGTATTACCTTTTCCAATTATTCCACACCACCGATGGATACTTTTTGATCTTCTTGGAATTTATATCGAAACCCAAAGGCTGATCTTGATCCTCCTGGTATCTATTTTGTTATTGATTACGGTTTTAATCCTTCCATTCCGTTTTAACTGGCCACATCTTCTTTATCAACTAGGCCAGCACTAGAAATATTTTTGACACAATCCAGTTGCGGAGTTCTGTGGCATACTCTTTTTCTTTTTTTAAAGAAATTTAATTATGAAAATTTTTTAAAAAAAAAATAATTTTAAAAAGTCACAAAAAAATATATATTGTTGGAAGCATGTTTCATGGTTTGAAGTGAATCCTTTTTTCTTATTTTATTTTTATTTTTTACACTTAATTATAATTGCTTGCACATTCTTTTTTCACCTCATCATATTAATATGTGGCTCCAATATTTTTAGCTTGCAAACTATACTGGTTTTACTGGTTTTCAGGAGACACAGTTATAGATTGAACTATATTTGGTCAAGCATTTACGCCCTGCATTTGAAATGCATATTTGGTAATCGATAAATGTTAGATTGTACAAAAAATGTTTTTAATTAAAAATTTTTATTAGCTATTAATTGCGTCCGATCATATGTATTACATTCATTATATTACACACTAAATTTTATCAAAATCAATCTGAAAGAAATGATTAAGTTTATTAAGTTGAAAATATTCATTTTATCTTATATTTACTTTTTTGGCAATTAAATAAAAATCATGAGTTCCGGGTACCAATTCAATTGGTTTGTTTCACGAAAAATCGGGAACCAGACACCAATAAAATTTTTATAATCTAAATGATTATAATTATTAATTTACTCTTTGGTCGTGGCTTAGCCTTTGAAACTAGTTTGGTTTTGCCTCTATTCAAAAATTTTGAAGGGGAAACGTTATTTTAAAAATGGTTTCGACTTCAGTATTTCGAAACACTATATCACCAAATTTTGTTGTACAGTACAAACCGAAAAATTAGTGTCATGTGATTAGAGCACTTTGACCAGAATTAATTATTAATGTAGGTGGAAATTGTCAATTTGAGTCTGGAGCAGAAATAAAATTGTTAATTTTATTACTGAGAGTTCTTTCTGTACGGTTACTGTTGATATGGTATATCGTGGGTATACCATTCAACAAAAAATCATGAAAGTTTAAAAATTCTTATGTTACTTTATTTGTGTTACTTTGAGAAATTTTTCGATCCTAATTTCAACTTCGACCCTAGGTTTCGATTTTCGGATTTTGGTTTCAATTTTTTTTTCAATTTAGACGTTCAATTTTCAAACTGGTTTCGAAGTTTGACGCCGATAGATTTGTTCCGATAACCACATAGTAGTATTTGATTTACTTAAAACTTGAATGCTTCGTGTTTCTAAAAATGAAATTACTTAATATCTAGCTTCGAGCTGACAAATTCTTGTAGTTTGGTAATCAAGTCTCATTGTGATAAAAATTACGAATCCATTTCAAATTTCCAAATATAGTATCATTTTTATACGAATAGTTTTGGCAAGGTTATCATGATGGTTTAATAATAGGATTTACCATATAATTAGCGGCGATGTACAATAAGAAAAGTTTTATATGTCGAATTTGTTTCTACATCTTTTTTTTATTTTTTAATTTTTTTTTTTAAAAAAACGTTGATACAATTCACGTGACTGTTGTTGTAACAATAAAGGGTTTTCTTCCAAATTGGGAAATCGATGGATGACAGGAAGAATTATCTCCAAAAAAAACAATATGGTTTTAACAATACTGTAATAATGTTTTAAGACTTTTAAGACTCCAAGTTCATTCTGATTTTGGAGCGAATTCGTCATTTTATTTTATCACGAGAAAAATCGTAAAACAATAGTAAAATAAAAAATAAGAACAAAAATAATAATAATTAAAATAATAATTACTTTAGATGGGAATTTACTCTTTTTTTTTTTTGTTCGAACCTTTTTCCTATTGTTGTGAATCACCTAAACTGGAAGTGAAATAAATTCTCATGATCTAAAATCTTCATCTAACGAGCGTTATTGTTATGATAATTGTTACTTTTGTTGATTAAGTGATATATTCAACATTAAATACATCTTTCGTGGGAACTTTCTTTTTGAAATGTTCAAGAGCCAAACGCCGCTTTTAGTTGTTAAGGTATCGAGCCATTAAATAGGGGCGTCAGGTTCAAATAAATTTTTTTTTTAAGATGACCGTTATAGATTCAATCAAAATTCTTGTTGGAGACAACCTTGGACCCTAATTTCTTGGACCACACCCCAAATATTTCTTGCATTGTTAAGAAGAATTTGATAAAAATCGAGTCTTTTCAACGATGCAAAAAAAGTTCTTCAAAGATTGTCGTGGTGTCACAAAATCGATTTTTCGTGAAATAATCTAACAAAAGTTAATGATCTAATAAAAAAATGTGCTGTTTAAAAATTTTTCGTATTTACTTTTCCAACACGAATCGAGAATCAAATGAAACATTTCCTCAAAATACGAACCCGACAAACGTGACAACTCCGCGACAAGGAGAAAGAGCTTCAACACATACAGTAGTAACCATCGATAACGATACGATTATCGTTCCAATACCTTCATCTTCTAACGCACATTCCTTACTTATAAAGTATCAAAAATCTCCAGAATATAAAGATGATTTTACTATTAGTTCTTCAGCACAATCTTTGTTCTTTGTCGTATTATATTATGAAGTATCCGAACGTAACCCGGATTTTCCACGAGCTCAATTACCGATTATTAGTAGAAAAGCTTGGGATTTGGCCGACCAGGAGTATAAAGACGCTTACGAATTGCTTTTAGAGCATGAGGAAGTTAAGAAATGTTTTGATGATTAAAACAAACGTTTTAGAATTAAGTGGTACGATGTAATAAAAGTAAAATTTCGGACCTGTCACTACACGAACGAATAAATTTCAAATTCAATTGACCGATTCATTGAAAATTCAAGAATATTTTGTCATTTATTAACAATATTTGATGCGTTCAATAATAATTAAAAGCAATAAAAAATTTATTTTTAGTAAACCAGACGCAAAACGTTGAAACGTTCTTTAATTTGCTGCGATTAAGGAGAGTACGTAAAGACGTTGTGTAATCTAATAATTTGTATCATGTCGAGATAAGCGGTTCAGTTGTTTAAAGTACAGTACCTAATAACATTTGGTAAACGAATCAAGGTTTATTATTAATACAAACACAAAAACCACATATCAAATAAATCATTTTTTAATTAATCATTATATGGTTCTTTTTTAACACCTCTTGACTTCCGAAAAAAGAAAAAAAAGGAGACATGTTTTCTTTCTATACGCGGAATGGTTAATTCCTGGCAGGCTGTGTGCGCTACATTTTCATAGGTTTAATTAATCAAAATGAATCATTTGAAATGCTCGACGATATGATTGGTTAAATCGTAAATGATATATAGCTTTTTTTTTCTTAAAATATATAAATATGTATATATATATATATATAAAATAAAACGTCAATTGTAAAAAAAAAAATTCTTTTTATTTTATTTTCTTTTTATTAAATATCGATGCGATGTGATGTGTGATTCATGATCAAAAATGGCAATTTTTTGTGATGAACATGGCATCATTAATCCGCAATCGCTTGTGTAATTCTATGAAACAAGAAATTAAAAATAGATTCATCAATTACATTGTCTCTTTCTCTTTATTTATATGTTTAATTTAAGTGGCTCAGTTAAAAATATTTTGTCTAGTGTATATAAAAGGAGGTGGTAGATGTCGTCAAAAAAAAATTAAAAAAAAAAAGTCACTCATACATTTCAATTAATTCAAATCAAACATTTTCACAAAAAAGCATTTATTTTTATCCTTCTCCTTTTTTTTTATTTTTTTTTTTTTAAATATAAAAGCAAACGATACAATGATTAATCAACGAAGACATGTGCATAAATGCAAGATCGAAGTTAACATGATGAGTGCTCGACCTCCGTTCCCACCAACCTTAACAGCAAGGGATCTAATACCGGCGGAGATTAATAATGGGATAGAGGCGGTGCGGACAGCGAATGCATTTATAGCATATCGCATGGCACTGGTAAGAGAATTAAAATTACAACGCGTTCCCTGTCATCGATCAAACGTTTCTTCTCATGCAAGCCGTCTGTGGGCGGAAGAACCTGAAGAAGTTAAAGACGTTTATAGGAAAATGGCAACTGACGCACAGTTGCTGTATAATAAAACTAGAGGAATAACATTTCTCTACGAACAACCCATTCCGAATGGAAAATGTAAAATAGAAAGTGAAACACAGTCTTCCTCAACACAAGTTTTTGAGGAAAAAATTCTTTCAACAAAAAATCCGCAATATGAAGCACCAACGCAACAAGGAAATTTCATGTTAAACCCTCCTCCTCCCTCCGTTTTGGATCAAGAACAATCGATGTACTACGATAATTCCGTTGAATCCTCATCGAATGTTTCGGTTCCCTCGAATATTCCAACATTCGATCATAATCTAGCCGGTCTAAATTCCTTTGGTGAAAACGTCTTTGAGAATACCAGAAATGCTGAACTTGAACAACGAATACAAGTATTGGAAAATCAGTTGGCATTTTTTTATCAAATGTACTTTGGTGGATATAATAATTATCCTGCATAATGAACAATACTTTTTTTTTATTGTATTTTATTATTTTATATTTATGAAAAGGACATTTTTTTTAAGAAAATACAAAAATAAAGAAAAAAAACATAAAGGACAAAAAAATAAATTCTATAATTGGAGTCACGGTTTCTTTTTGACAAGATAAAAAAATTACTATTAAAAAATTTAGTTTGTTTAGTTCAAAATTTATAATCTATCTTTATGTATATAACTATGTAACTTTAAATTATTAAGTCATTTATTAATAATAAATTAATTAAACTTTAAAATTCCTTTAAGCTCAATAAATCAAAGATTAAATTTTATCCCTCAAACAAAGAAACCAATGAACGTAAAATAAAATTTGACCTCTAACTAGTTAAGGAAATCAATAATGCCTTTAAAGATAAATTTCAAAGAATTTGGTTATAATCGTATAACAATTGAACAACAAACACTAATTTTGGATAAAAAAATTAAACTTTATCCGTAACAAGAACACGCCATGATAAGGAATTTACAAGTTCAAGGCAATTGGATCATTATTCCAACAGATAACGAGAAGTATACCTGTCAGATATCTGATGCCACAAATGAAATAATGTAATGTTATCTTCATAGCGATAATAGCCGTGACTAATAACGGTAAGTTTCCTTTAAGAGCAATTTGGCAAAGAATCACTTGTTTTTCATTTTTATAAAGCAGGTTTGAGCTTGAATCAATAGTGGATTTACAATAATACCTTTTACATCAAATGAATTGATTTAATCTAATATTGTTCAGGCAAACTAGTGTTACAAATTCAGATACATCTAAATTGATTCAGACATGAGTGTTTATCGATGCATTTAACGATTATATAAACCGTAACATGATATATGTTCTGTATTACCATGCATCATCTTAAAATCCTTAGATATCATAAAATTGAATGATTAAGTATTTCGTATCAGAGGATTTTTTTTTTTGATTTCTATTTGTACCCACTTAAAACGTTAATGTAAATATTTGTGCATGTCAAATGATTCGAAATTTATGTTTGATTCGAATTTTAGAACATCAAATGGTTCGGCGAAAGGCGAGGGAGGGATCTTTCAACCTTTTTTTTTTAATTTGTGCATAATATTTTTTTTATTTCCCGAACATTATTATACCACATTATTACAGCTTACATTGGGAATGTATTATATAAATATTTCTCAAACCTTAAATCTATATATCACAGAGTATTGCATTGCTTAGGCGAATGCGCATGAAATTCATGTCTGTCGCTATTTTTCCATATACATTCATTGTTCACCGAATATGTAATCATATTCTAAAATGAATTTTTTTTGTTTGTTTGTAACATCTGTATCACGTGCATCGCTTTGTTTTGGTTTGGATCGTTGTCTGACACATTTATTTATATCATTAATGTGTGTATTTATTTCATCACATCACTCGATAATTTAATAAATTGATCCGAACAATTTCTTCTTTAAAAAAACTTCCGGAATTTAATAATTGACTGTCAACATAATTTCTATTTTAGGTTAAATGATTTCTTTGTCAATTTTTTATCACCGGAAAACTCTTTGTATCATTTATTTTTTTTTTCACACTATCATTTATTTTGTTTTTTATAATATATATATTTTTATATTAGTTGCGGAGTTCACCATTAAAGAACAGAAACCACCTTCTCGTAATTTATTCACCGATATTATGTCAGTTTACTTTTTCCTAAAAAACAACGAATCCTTTTGAGATTCTCCGAACGTTTTTACGTCAGAAATTCCCCACAACGGTCATTTAAATATTTGAAACATGCCTTACAAACTCGGAAGTGTTAAGCCACAACACGTTGATAAAGGAACATCAAAACATTACAACAGCGTGAGGCGTAGGATTTAAAAGTTGTCATTTATGAAAGGACAATCTTTTCTGTCATTTAAAACTTAAAACTAAGAAAAGAATTCAGCCTTTTCTTCCTTTCTTTCTTCCTTTCTTTTTTTAAAAAAAAATACAAAATCGCAATGACATCATCAATACAACAAACCCGTTGTGGAAATTTTGTACCACGTAAAGAATACATTACATTGTATTTTTTTATCACTTTCCATGCTCAAGTTTACAATGCTTCATGGTTCGTTGATAGATGTTGCTTTTGAAGAAAGGTGTAACCAAATGTACGGACATCTACTCCTTCCATTAAAAGGTCAATTAGACTAGAAAAAGAACTTTGTATGGTATCATAATTACTTTTAATTGAGAGTCGAGAATTTTCCTAAATAATTTATTTAATTGATGTCATCGAATCATAAGGAAATATAATCGTACGCAATTTTTAAACAACGACTTTAATGTCTTTTGTTTATAAATCTCCGAAATAGAAACAAAAAAAATTTTATTACAAAGCTAAATTAAAACCGATTCATTTGTTTTTTTTATTTTTAATTGTTAAAAAAAAAAATCCCGTTCACCTTTTTCTTGATTCAAATTACTTGACCTAATTCGTACTCATTCTTTACCTATTTTACTAACCATTTAAAGGGGGTTGCAATGATGAAAAAAAAAAAAATGTTGTGACACAAAATTCATCAGTTGTTATGCAGGTTTCAATTACAAAAATTTTTTGTTACTAGGTAATTGGTTTTCACTATTGGGCGACATTAAAGGTTACACGTACATGAATTTCTTTTTACAATCATACCCTTCTTGTTGGACTTGATTTATGGAGAAGCATTTCCCCAATTAACACTTGTTAATTCGAAAATTATGATTTTTTTTTTTTTACATGGCTGAGCATATGACTAAATTTATTTGTAGAACGTTCCTTCTAATTTTTTTTTTCTTTCCTTATGGTTTATTTATTATTTATATTATTATTTTATATATATTTTTTAATAGATTGAATAGATTGCCAAATTTATTTGATTTAATTTAAATTTATTATTTATGATTATTATTAACTATTGTAATTTAGAAGAGCGGGAGTGAGCATAAAATAAGTGGCTTAGATTATATTAATAACATAGATAACCAATTTTTACCATTTATACCTATAAATTTACCTTTCGAATATTTAATAAATGGACACGATCACGTGGAATTACACGTTCAAAGACATTTCAAAAGATTCCCAATTGCACTTGTTTTTTCCATAATTAATCGAGACGGGTTGAATTCTGATTCATTGTCGATCAGCCTGATACGGACTTGTAGATCAAGGTTGTAAAAAAAATGTATTATTTAATAAAAATAGCAATTTTATAACTTATTAGCAAGTAACCATTTATAATGAAACATTAAAATGTCTCTTTAAGTAAACAAGATTGATAGATTTGCTTTCGAGATTAATTTAAAAGTATTAAATGCATAATCAATAAATGTATTCTATATTTGGAAATTCTATACTTATAATAATTTATTAATTGATTATATATGTTTTGTCGCTCTTAGGATCTACTAATAATATTTTTTTTCACGAATTCGAACTTTTGAGTCTCTTAGTAACTTTAAAACTTTTTAGACAATTCTTCGATTTGATTATTTTATTAATTCAAAATATATATTCCTTCATTTTGAGGCGTTTATTTAATCAAGATTTCTTTTTTTTTTAGGTAATTATATAATGGCATTTATTTAATATTTTCATGTGCGAAATAAGAACGGTCAGTGAACGAGTGTTTGGTATTGTGATTAATGTAAGGATTTAAAAGCTTTTGATCATTAACATTTATCAAACCAGTTTCCCATTTTGGATCTTGTATTTGATAACCAAAAAATGTTTTAAAGTCATCTGCGTCGAAATTTTTTTTTTTTGATCCAAAGTTTTCTCATGATGGCTTTATTTATTTGTTCTAACTACGCCTTAAGAAAAAAGTTTTTATGTCAGTTTTAAGACGTGCTTATTGTATAATAAAGGTATTTACCATTGTTAATCCCGCCTTTTTATTGTATACAATGTGATCTGTTTGTATGAAAAATAACGTAAGAAGGTCATGAGTCCAAATTAATTAAACATCACGAAATTTAACGAAAGCAAACCCGACAAAATCCAAAAAAAAAAAATTTTCACACGAAAAATAATGTGAAAATATTCATTACATCGCGTCAACCTCATCGAGTTTCATTTTAAATGATATTTTCGGGAACGAATATCCTTTTAAATGCCCACTTTAGTGCAATCATGCTTTATCCAAATCCGCATACTGCGTCTAACTGGTAATTGACTAACGATATTGTAATGGAAAATTCAGTCAGAAGTAATACACAAACAATAAGGATCAGTAAAAAGGTAATATTTTTTTTTAGAGGATTTAAAAATAACGCTTCCTCCCCTGGCAAATAAATTTGGATAATTTAGGCGTAAATTGTTGATTTGTGGTAACTTGCTAAATGACGTATTTTTTTTTTTGATAATGTATTGATCAAATATAAAAATAATTTCATTATTTCTTGTATACTGTAACGAGATCATAATAAGCCTGACCAACAAAAATTCATATTACGGCAGCGAAATTATCATCCTTAAAATAACTTAAACAAAAAAAATTAAAATTTTAAAGTACGTGTATCTTATTTAGTATCCTGAAGATTAATATTAAATTTATAAGTCGAATTTGAAGAATTTAATTATTTTTTCAATTTTTCTTTTAAGTAATTGTATAATATAAACCAAATTTATACAAAAAGAAATGCTTCATGTACACCTAAAAATATAACCATGGTTGCGATCTTTTAGTAGACGATTATCAATACTTCTAGAAACTTGTTCTGGAATTTCTTATTTCTGAATCCATTAAATAGAAAATTAATAAACACACGTGGATCACGTGATCCAGGTCATTTGACATTAAGAAATTAATCCCAAATCTTGGCTAAAAAATGTTAATTGCCGAAATTATATTTAACTTGATCTAAATTCCTTGAATTAAAATACATTAAAAAATATAATAATTTTATATTTATTCATATAAAAATATTAAAGAGACGAAACTTTAGACGAAATTACAATTTTTCAAAAAAGAGTTTAGTCAGGTATCACTAATCATTATTCTGAAAGAATGATATTATTTTTTTATCATTCTTTTAGAATAATACATTATTATTTCTTTAGAACGATTTTGTAATTATTTATAATAAATGATCAAGCTATCATTTTGAAAGAATAATTTTTGTTATCATTTTTAAGGAATGATTAAATTATCATTTCTTTAAAATAATTTTATTATCATTTTTAAGGACAAACTATTATTTCATAAGTATAATTTTATTATCATTTTTAAGAAATAATTAAACTATTGTTACTTAAGATGATTTTTATTATTATTCTTAAAGAATGATTTTATTATCAGCCTTATAAAACAATCAAATATCATTCTTTTGAATAACTTGCAATCAGATAATACAAACATCTATTTAAAACATTTATAATAAATTGTATAAATAACATCTAAATTTAAATTAATTGAAATTTTTGTTCAATTTATAATATAAAACTGATAAATTTTCAGAATATTCCAAAAAATAATTTTTTTCTTTTTTATTTTTTTTTTATTTATAAAGCGATTTTTAGGTGAAAATTTAATTTTTTTCTTTTTTTTAGGAAATTCTTATTTTGAAATTAAAATAAATAAATCAGAATTGATTTTTTTAGATAATTTCCTTTCTTTTTTTTATATTTTTAGAAAATTCTTATTTTGAAATTAAGAAAGCAAATCAAAATTGATTTTTAAATAGTTTTTAACTCATTTTTCTTTATTTTTCTATTTTTATTTTTTTTTTTTAGAAAAATTCTCTTTCAAAACTAGGATAAGTCTTTCAAAAATAGTTTTTTTGTGGTTTTTTAATTGTTTTTTTTATTTTTATTTACTTTCTTTAGAAATACATTAAGGTAAATTTTCAAAAGTAGTATTTTAGTGACTTTTTAATTATTTTCTTTTATATTTACTTACTTTAGGAATATATTAAGATAAGCCTTTTGAAAATGATATTTTAATGGTTTTCTAACTTTTTTTTTCTTTACTTTCTTTAAGAATAATTAAAGTAAGTAAATCAAAGATGTTTTTTTAATAGTTTTCTAATTGTTTTTTTATTTTTTGTTTATAATATATTAAAGTAAGTAAGTCAGAAATGGTTTTTTGATAATTATTAACTGTTTGCTTTATTTTTTCTTATCTTTAAAAAATCAAATATATCATTTTGAATAAAATATAATGCAATATATATTCTTTTTAAATAATTTATTATATAATAATAAAATAAAATTATAAATAATAAATAAACAAAAAATTATTTTATTAGTTTTAATTTTATAAATAGTTGTTTAATTGATTTTTGCTGATTATTGACTGATTTTAAGCTGATTTATGCATTTATGTTAAATTTTTAATATTAATGCTAATTAATAGCTGATTTTCAAATTATTCAAAATGCTAATTTTTAATAATGATTAGCATAATTAAACTATATTCAACCAACATTCAATACATTAAAAAAAGTGACGAAATAAATTATTTTAACTAGTGATCATATGTTTTTTTTTAAAGAAAATATTTGTTCTGAAAATAGCTCATAACTAATAAAAATTATTTTAGAATATGAAAAATTTATATAAATTAGTATGTTTTAACAAATTTAAATTTATCAAATAATATTAAACTTTTAGTTATCATAAAAGATTTTAATAATTTAAAAACTTGTGATAGTTTTGAATAATTCAAATAATTAAAATTAATTTGTCTAATTTATTGCTTTGCAAATATAGGTAAAATGTTAACAAATAGAAAATTAATTAGATGGAATTTGATAATTCAGATTCTATTTAATTTTTATATCAAAGATTCCTATTAATATCATAAAATAATGATACTCAGATTCCAATCAAAATGTAATTTTTAAATTCAATTTAATAGTTTAATATTAAATATTAATATGATATTTCCTATTTGTATTTAATAAATTATTATTTTTAATTGTTAGCATACTGATTAATGATAGTTTTTGACTTTAATTATCAAATTTATATTAATTGGATATATTTTGATTGATTTAATTTATATAATTATTATTTATAAATTTACTGATTGATTTAAAATTTATTTAATATTAAATTAACTAAATATGTGCAATTATTTATTATACAGTGAAATGATTATTAAAAGTTTTAAATACAGAAAAAATATAAAAAAATTTAATCTTCTTGATTCTCCTGATTATTCTCACTATTACTATCATTTTCTGATCCTTCAGTTACTTAACTTTTACTTTTTTTACTTCTTTTGTTATAATTATTATTCTTACTCATCTTATTATTTGCTTTAAGGTTATTATTATTATTATATTATATTTTGTTTTATTAAATTTGTGTAATACTTAAATGATAATTTTAATGATCTAATGTAATCAGATTTAGTCTATTTTGAAGCATTAGTTGATGCAATTTTTGCAATTTTTCATCATATATAAATTATATATTATTAAAAACTTATTTTCTTATTTAGTAGAATTTCAAGTTTTAGTTAAATATTTTATTAACAAAATTTCATAAAAGTTAAGTAATTATAAAAAAAAGTATTTAAATTAATGCCATCAATAAAAAAAATATAAATAATTACTTACTGTTAAAGAATGCTATTTTAGGTCTCAATTGATGAACTTCTGCTTATTAGATTTTTATTATCTGTTTTTAATACCTTAGAACTATAGCATTAATTATTAATTTGAATCAGTTGAAATTCATTATCGTAAAATTTATCTATTAAATACTTATCGAGTCTTAATAATTTATCTATTACTTTCATTCAGTGGCATTTTTTCTGAGATGTTAATAATAAATCAGAAGAAAATAAGTAATAATTATTTTATTTACTCATTTTAGTATGTTAAGAATTAGAATATTTTCTTTGCTTTTTAAAATCAATTCAGGCATTACCCTTTTTTTTATTAAAGAAATGTTTTCATTGATGATAATGATGTTTATATATAATGTATTTGATAATTTTATCAAGTATTAAAATGTATTTTATTAAATATTTATTGTATTACTAGAATAAGAGTATTATAAACTAACTTTTGTTATTTTTTTAAAGTCTTATTGATATTAAGTTGTAGATTTGTAAGTAGTCTTTTAATAATACCTATAATTTCATTCTTATTACAAAAATATGCTAGTTAGCTAAGTTTTATCAATAATAAAAATAAGAATAATATTATTCTTAATGTATTATGTAATTCCTTATCCATTTTCTTGTAAAAGAATATGCATATTTGAAAAAAAATAAGGAGAAAAAGAGGAGAACTTTTTGTTATATTTTAGTTTCATTTAGAATAAAATGTAAATCATTTCATTCATGATAATTTTTTGTAATAATAGACTTTTGATTTTATTTTTTCTTACACAACTTTTACTTCTTTTATTATTATTTACGATTATAATTCTTATCTCTTCTATTATCATTATATACACAGCTTCTACTTTTTCTATTTTATTATTTCTTCTATTATAATTGTAGTAATAGCATCTACTTCTTCTATCATCTTTATAATCACAGTTTCTATTTCTTCTATTATCTTTACAATCATGATTACTATGATTATAACTTTTACTTCTTCTTTCATCTTTATAGTCAAATGGAATATGAAGTTAAAAAATTGAAGACTTTGAGATTCTAGTTATGCTTTTTAATGAACTAGCAATATTTTTTAATAAATTGAACTGCATATCTTTCTTTTTATAGACTAGATACTTTTTGATATTCAGAATATAGGAATAGATCAGACAATTTCAGGGTATTCTTAAGTTTATCTAAACTGTTAAAACCAATTAATTATGACATTTGTAAATCTGTTACTTTTTATTTCCTTTTACTAGCTTATTCAGCAACTTTTTATATCATTTATTTGAAGCTATAAAGTATTAACTATATTTTTACTATTATTCATTTTTTTATTAAAAATAATATAATTATAATAGTAATATAACACAATCAGAAACAATATTTATATTTATACATAAACTATTTTAATTAATATATTATCTTGAATTATATTGATTAAATTAGGATATTTTTTATTTTTATTTTTTTAGTTTGATAGTTATTTATAAGATTTTTGAATTATCTCATCCATAGATTAAAAATTACTAGAAAACAAAACTCTTATTTTATTAGACAAACTATTTCGCTCAAAATATAAGTGATCGATTAATAAAAAATTGGCTTTAAATTACCCTTTAGTTTTTTATTTTTAGTAGTTTGTGATTATCTTTTTTTTCATTAAAAATTTTATCAGAAAAATGTTTAATGAATCTTTGCTATTTGAAGTTTTAGACATATGGAAGGTGGTCAGTAAAAAAGGGAAAAATCCAAATTTTGGTCAAAATTTATATTATTAAACCATTTGGCTGATCTCGATTATGTACACAAAATTAGCTTAATAATTAAAATTAACAAAAATTTTGGATTTCCCCCTTTTTTACTAACTGACTCCCATATTACTAGTTGAAATCATTTTTTTTAATACTAATATTTTTCTGATAAACATTTAGCCAATTTAGTCATGTAATTTAACAAAAAATTAGCTCAATAGTCATTTGTTATAACACTCATAATTTAACATTATTTAAGCATTAATAACTTTTGATATATATTCAGCTGATTCAGACATGTGATTTAGTAAAAATTCAGCTTAAGTTATAAATCGTTAGTAATTTATTATATCATGCATAATTTAGTATTATTTGACATTAAAACCTTTTGTTTACATTCAATCATATGATTTGGCAAAAATTCAGCTTGAATTACAAAAATCGATAGTAATTTATCAAACTACACATAAATTAGCATCATTTTGGTACTAATACTTTTAGTTATAATATATAGCAAAATTTTAATTAGACTTAAACTTTAGCAACAAATTAACTGTATCTCACTGATTAAAATCTGTTGAGCTGATTTTTGCAAAAATTATAAAATCATTCTTAGATTAATCGTCTCAAAGAAATGATAGAAATTATTTCTAAAGAAATGAACAATTATCCCAAAAGAAACTATACAATCGTCTCAAAAGGAAAGATATAATTATTCCTAAAGAAATTATAGAATTGTCCAAAAGGAATGATACAATTATTCTTAAAGTGATGATAGAAATAATTCAAATAGAATGATACAATCATTCCTAAAATAATGATAGAAATTGTCTATTTAAAAGGAACAATACAATTGTTCTAATAGGAATGATGCATCATTTTTCTGAAGAATATTTTTTATCATTTTTAAGAAATGATACATTATCATTCCATAAGAATGATATCATCATTTCTTTAGAATAATAAAAGTAACAATGACGACTGGATTAGAAGTTTTAGCAGTTGGATTCATTTTATTTTATTAGTTTGTTAGCGGAGTTTAATTGTTTAGTTTTATCAGTTTATTGGTAGTTTTGAATTGTTATTTGATGTGATGAGGAAAAATTGGAGAGATGTTGTATTTATAATAAATGAGTTGATAATTACGAAAAGATAATAATAATAACAATTTTTATTATATGATATATATATAATATAGTACGATTTATTTATAGTGATAAAATTCGGCAATTTCCAAATTTCCAATGCATGAACAATTATTATGCTATTATATACGTAATGCAAGGTAACCTTTTAATTCGATTATTAATTATTCCTTAATTAGTTAAGATTTCAATACAAATCTACGGACAATGTTTCAAAAATTAAACAGTTAATGATTCTTTCAAAAAAAAATCTTTTACTATTTCGAAATAAATGAAATGAATGATAACTGCTTTATGAAAACCTTCCCGTTGTTCTTAATGATTGTTTTATCGTTGCCAATACTATTATGATTTGTTAATTTTCATTTAGACAGTATTTATTTTCTTTCATAACTTAATTCGAACAATCTAAGATCACCTTTTTCCAAATCATAACGATCTGAATCAAAATAAAATAAAATTGTTACGTAAACATGCATTTGAAACTTACAATTCTCCCTATTACCTGATTTGTATCATTGTGTCACCTTTCCTATTATAAATTTTCCTTTTATAGTTAGTGTTACGTATACCAAAATCGGAACAATATTTTTTTTAATCGACTTTAATTTCATTGTTAATTAAGACTTGTATGCTATATACTTATCTTATTTCTACCTTTATGGCATCAATCGATTAGTTCATTTTTAAAAAAAGCTAAGACCTTTCATATTATCAGATGATGTTACACACATTTTTTTTGAAAATCTAAAATAAATTTTTGCTGTTGAATTGTGAGAAATTTGTAAATGACTTAATTTAATTAAGAATTCTTTTTTTAAAAAATATATATATATATATATTTTAATTATTAGATATCAGTAGTAGTTTTTTTTTAATTATGATGTAGCTAACTAAAATTGATATTTGTTATCAGAAAGAAAGATCTATTTATGATTGATATTGTTACCTCCTATTTTCGTAATGAAGGTAATTAAAACGATTTATATTATAAAATAAGAACGAAACGAGACATTTTATAATAAAATTTACTTCTTGTTACGGGATTCATTAATTCAATTTGCAATTTAATTGGTCCCCGATGTCAAAAGTGGTCATTTTGACATATATTTTCCATCAGTCCGAATGGACCGTCAATCCGAAACAAATTGACAGAGCCGCTATCCTTTAAAAAATCAAGAATCCATTTCAAAAAAACTAAATTTTTATTGAAACAATTGAATTGCCAATTTACAATATATGAAGCAACCCGATTTGGTCTATATAATCCTTAAACGGTTAATTAACCGGTTAAATTTAACTCAGGCCGGCACTATTAATTGGGCAGAACTAGAAAATTAAATTTTGGCCAGAGTTAAAATTTAATATTTTAACCGGTTAACATGAAAATGTTTTAGCCGGTTCCAACCTCTACTTTTTTATAGAAATGTTATTAGTGTAAGTGACGGGCCTAACGGAAGTTCGCTCAATAATGGAAACCAAAAACCTGGAAGGTACCGTCATGAAACGTCCATTTGGAAATTATTAATAGAAGTAATAATAATTATTTCTTCACGTTTAATATAGTATTTACCAGTATCTATATTGTACTATATTGTATTTTATTTTTATTAATTGTTTTAAAACGTGAAATGAAAAATAGGTGAAAAGCTTTGAATATAACAAATTGATATGAAAAAAAATAAAAATAAAATTTTGATGGAATTAACGTATTGAATGTAAGTTATTCACAAGTAATTTTAATAATAAAGAAAAGATTGTCAAAATAATATATTTTCTAAGCAGTACCATTAAGATAAGAAAAAAAACACAAAAAAAAAATTTTTTTTGATCATGGTAAAGTGTATTTGAGTATCATGATTATTTTTAAAGATAAAAATGCGCATTTATTAATTGAGAGAAAAGTAGCATATAATAAATTTTTATAATAGAAAAATGACACGACAGATCAGAATCAAGGATTGTATATATACGAACGAACAATAGATTTGAAACGTGCCGATCTTAGAACAATCTGATTTGAAACGCAAAATAGAAAATAAATAAGGGGATCTTTTCCATTTCGAAATAGGAAAATATTTATTTTATTTTATTTTTTTTTTTTTTAAAGAAGTATTATTATTATTGGTACTACGGGGAACTTTTATTTGTTTAATTTTGAAACATTGAATCCTATTACGGAAATGCCATTTAATAAAAATAGATTTTGGATTAGAAATCTTAACTACTTAAGGAATAATGGCGATATTTAATTATCGAAATTAAGGTTATCTTGCATTTACATACAATAGCATAAAAATTGTTCCTGCATAGGAGATTTTTGAATTAATCGCTAATTGTACTAATTGTACTATAGTTGCTATATATATCACAATACTAATAAAATTAATATCATTATTATCTCTCGTAATTATCAAATCGATTTATTATAAATACACGCCGCCTTTTCTCTACAATTTTCCACATCTAATAACAAATCAAATACAATAAACTAATAAAACAAAACATTTAAACTTCACTAACAAATTACAAAATAAAAATGAATCCAACCGCTAAAGCTTCTAATCCAGTTGTCATTGTTACTTCTGAACTTACAAAAAAACCCAACCCTACAAATCAATGCTCTATAATGTAAATGTTATGAGCGTTATTTCAAAAAACTAAAAACTATTGACTGCTTAGAAAAGAAATGGCCTGGTGCTGTGCAGCAATTTTAAGTTCTCAAGGAACCTTCTCGCTATCAATTATTTTCTTCGAAAGGAACGGCTTGAAGAAAATTTCTTATACTCAAAATTTCGATTTATTATGTGTCTATTATTATTATTATTATTATTTTATTATTTAATTTTTATAAAATCGAACAATTACACGTTAATTTAAATTTTTTATTGTATATTTTTGTTTAATTCATTTATTCTTTTTATTAATTAATAAATATTGAAGTTTACTTCATTTTTTATAATTTTTCAAATTTATTTTCACAAATTTTAATTTCAATTCAATGTCACTGATCTGTAAATAAATAAATATAAATATATAAAGTATAAATTTAACAAGCACTTCATTATAGGTTTATTACGTTATTAGTCTTGAAAAGGTCATCAGTTTTTCGTTTCTACCATATTTAATCTTCTTAGATACCCTTTCATTAATTCCGGCCAAGTATGCGGTTGAATAGCTTGGCCATTCAGTTGAAGTTCCGAAAGGGTTTGCAATACGATAATTATTCGGATTATGACCAGAATTTTGACCTTGGACCTGAGTTAATCTTAAATACATTCTTTGTAGTAGCCTTATTGATTTATAAAAAAAATTAATCTGGACCAATTCAATTTGCAAAATATTTAGTATAGGTTTAATTTGTAACAAAAATAATACAAACGATAATATAAATCTCGATAACTGCGCTACAAGCTATCATCTTTGGGTTATTTCAAATATCGAACGATTAGCATTGAAAAAAACAATCTTAATAAATTGGATTAATATATTCAACAAACAAATAATTTCTTTACCTTATCGTTTGGACAATTTTTGGTTTTCCTATTAGCAAAAAATTTTTTTTTTCAGATTGTTTTATAAATTATTTTCTTTTGAGGCGTTTATACATACTTACAGTATTTCAACAAATGCATCGTTGCATTTGGTAAATACAAAATTTTCAATATTTGAATCTTTAATTTATTAGTTCCGCTAGATTATGCATAGTGATTGTAAAAGCGACGCCCAATCAGAATCTTTCAACAAAAGAAACATAAAAGAAGAAATTTTGGGCGACATAAATATTAGCATTTTCTAATTATTTATTTCTGAATTTTATAGCTAATTATTATACTTAACACGTGTTCATGGACTTAAGATGCAAGAGGTACAATTTGAAACAAATTTGTTTAGATTTTTATGAACAATAATATATGCTTCAGACTAGCGTCACTTTCCAACGCAGCTAATCATAATAAACAGGATGGAGTGAGTGTAAGGCCAGCATTTTTTGAAATTTTTTATCACAATATTAAATACATTTTTTCCTTTTTTCCTTAGATCGTCGCAGATTTCTTTTCAGGAAAAGGTTAATATTTCAGAGAATTCTTTTTCGAAATCTAATACTTGTCGTATTTAAAAAACGTATGAAATTGACGACCAATTAGTTCTTTAAGTCGTAAATTCTAACTTCATTTAGTTCATTTAGGAAAAACAAAATTGCATTTTAATGATTTATTAAATTGTATTACATAAAAAAAAATTCTATTTTTTTTTGGATAATATTGTGTACCTAAAGTTCAAAACGTTCTATATTCAGTACAGATACAATGAGGTCGTACTTCGTAAAATTTTTTTTTATTTTTTTTTTATTTTTTTGTTTTATTAACCGGTTTCCATATCTCTATTTTATCTCTCCAAACTACTATTTTATTTTTTTATTATTATTAATAATGGCACATTTTATTTTCGAATTTTATGCGTAATAAATTAATTATCTTTGCTAATTTAAAAGGTTTAAATAAAAAATTATATATATTTTAATTGTTCAAAATTCATTAATGATATATTTCATAAGTTGGAACTAGAAGTAAATTTCGAGTTCGGATTTATTTTTTTTTTTAGTAATTATTAAAGAAATTATATTAATGTCTTTTAAGAACGCGGGATAACAGAATTCTGACGTAAATACGAATGATGGAATGCAAAGTTATATATTTATTTGAAGAAATGACATTAATTACTGTTTCTTCTCCTTTTCTCTTTAGTAACGTTAGGCTAGCCAGATTTTGATGTCTGAAGGTAAATTGTAATCGGTTGGGATGTGGAATTATGCTTTTTTAATATTTAAATTAAAAAATAATGCTGAACGGGTTTTTGTTTTTTTTTAGTAACAGATGGGAAGGAATTTAAGATTGTTCATTTGAACAAATATCATGAAGATGCATATTAGATTAAAAAAAAATTTAGAAATGATTTTTTTATTTGAACTAAAGGGCAAAGACGCAAAGTAATAAAAACGCATATGTTTACCGTATCTGACGTATCATATTATTTATGGTAATGCACATTATTTTATTTATGACGATAATCATCATGATTTACATCTTTTTTTTTAATTTTTGTAATGGTTCAATGTTTGAAAAATTATATTGTTAAAACAAATAAAAAGAGCGGAAATAACAATTTACAGTATGTTATTGTAAAGCATGCTTTACAAAACTTGGTGAAAATAGTTCAGAAACTAAAAACAATTGTTGATAAAACAGAAAGGTTGATTACCCATTTTAAAAATTGTAGAAACTTTCATGATATATTTGATAATGAAGAAAAAAGTAAAATAATTGCCCTTGTCATAAAAAGAATAATTTAACAGTGGAAGTAAATACAAATGATTCGTCCAATCAACAATTATTCTTACGAAAAAATTCAGTTTCATCCCGTTCTTCTTTATCTTCCCTTCTATTACAATGGTCAAATTATAGACCTTTAGATAAATGGGTTTACCGGCTGCAGAAAATCATAAATTTCATTATCTGATATTACGAGTTATTATTTCTTGTGAATCTTGGGTAAATAATTCAGAAATTATTGAATTATTTAAATTTATTAATCGAAAAATCAAATTATCAGATCGATCTAATAAAATTATGGGTGATGCTTGATAAGACAATGCTAGAAAAATTGAAATTAGATCAGATAGGAGTTACAATGTCTTTTGATGGTTGGATAAACGTTTGTTAACAAGAATTGATGGGAACTTTGCTCATTACATCTGATGAACAACCTTTTGCATGACAAACTAAAGATATAAGTAGTGAGCATGCAACAATTACTGAAGTTATTTCTAAATCTGAAGGAATAATATCTGAAATAAACAAGATGTAAATAACACTTTTAGCTATTGTTACAGATAATGCACCTCTGCACAGTATGAAATAATTATTTAATTAATAAATACCTTTTAATATTTTGCTTTACTATATTTTACTAATTTTATTAAATTGATTTTAAATATAATTTTAAAAAGAAATTGAATTCAATATCATAATATTGTTTTTTGCCTTATTTTGCTCATAAGATAAACTTGTATGTTAGAGATATCTTTAAGACTTTACCGATTTTAAATTAACATCAGATCAAGCATTAAAATTAGCAGCTTATTTTAAAAATAAAAATACCAAATATTTATAGGTCAACTTCGAAACATTCAAAAGAACATATATGGAAAATACATTTAGCCTGCAATTTTTTGAGATATCAGTCAAATTTTAATTTTAACTAAGAAGGCATTGCGTGTGAGAAATTTTCTTTTTTAATAAAATCCATATAATTTTTATTTATAGTTAAATTTGAGCTATCTATTTCTTTAAAACGATGTCACATAACTGATTGATCCATTAGCAATATCATGAGAAATTTATTTTATAATTATAGATGACACTTTTTGAAAATTGTTAACAACCTTAGAATTTCTTTTAGATCCTTATTATTGTTGCACGCAGTTCGTGACGTTTATTGGTTATAAACAATAGAAAAGGTAAGCAGAAGGTTTATTATTGAATGTTTTTAAATGTATTTATTAATAGCAAATAATAACAAATGAAAAAAAATATTCCATATTCTGATATTAGATTATCTTCAAAACTTATCAATATTTAAAGGATCATTTTCAACAAAATATCATAAGGAAAGTTTCAGCTTCACTTCATTTTCTTCAACATAAATTTTCTTAAAACTTTCTTTTTTGTAATGTTATAGTTATTTGAGTTTAGTCATAATTTTTTAGGTACGAACCATTTACTGACAAGAAAATATACTTCAAACATGACCTAATAAGTATTTTTTATGGTTTTTTTTTTTCTGATTAAGTTTAGTATAAAGCTTGAAATATTTAACCAACCGTTTTAATGAGACCAACTATTACTAAACATATTAATTCATTTTTTAATGCATCTGGTGGGAACTGATGGCCAGTTTGATGATATATTTGTTTAGTTAAAGTATGCGCGACATAACCGATGTTGAAACAATAAATAATCAACTAAACTAGTTTTGAAATTCTATTCTCGCAAAAAATATTTTATAATGGGAAATACACATCAAAGAAAATTTCATTAGACAAAGACGTCATTAACTTCAAAGTAATTTCACAACCAGTAAATCTATCTCTGTAGCTAAAATAAATCATCTTAATATATTTTTATAAGGTCAATTATAAATAGATAAAATATAAATATTTTCTCATATTTCCATAACTTTTTTTTTTTCAAGAATCTATAGCGTTAAATTATAAAACTTTCTGTTGATTTGTCAAGATAAAGTAATTTTAAAAATTTTTTTAATTATAACATTAATGAAAACATTTAAATGAGTAAATTAACAAACTGTAGTTATTGTACTGTACTTTCAAAATATGCATTGTACAGTAACTACCGAAAATGAATATTAATAATTGATATAATTTTTAGGTTAGAGTTATGATTGTGAGCTGAGTTGATAAATTATGATTTCTTTCTTAAAATAAAACAATTTCGTGGTTTATTTTAAGATGTTAATATTAATCTGAAAAACTTTCTAGTAGATGACCAGGCTTGAAAAAAATGATATATTAAAACTTGGAAATTCTTAAGCTAATTGAAATTTGTAGATTGAAGTAAGGAATAAAATTTCCTTTAATATATATAATTATGAAATAAAGGAATACTACGTTTATACCATTGATAATCCAGATCTTAATGTGCAAATTAACCAGCAACTTCCTCAAATTTTTTTTTTATAATTCAATAAAATAAAACACGTTTAAAAACAAATAATTTATGAAAAATTAGACCATATGTCTTGAATGAGTAAAAGTTAGAGATTATGGAAGTCTAGCAACAAACATACTGTCATGTTAAAACGAATAGAAGAAATTATCACTATTATTAAAAAAAAACATAAAATAAGTCATCGAAATCTGGTATAATAGTAGTTAAAAATGCTACACGAGAAATATTAGGAAAGCGTACTAACCGTTCATGAATTTTTTATATTTAAAAACTCGTTTTATGTTATGGGCTTTATAATAGGAATATTTATTCATTATAGGGTCATCTTTCCCAAGAAAAGCTCCGTCCAAATTTATAGTGCTGGCCTTAAATTAAATCATTCGGGTTCATCAACATATTTTGGAAACAAAGATTCAAAAAAATTATTTGCTATGAAGCAAAAAAAGATAAAAATAAAAAGTTTGCAATATTTTACATATTTTACATGTACTTTGTACTAATTAACAAACATATTTTTTCTTTGCTAATGATATAACATTTCATGTACAGTACAAATAGAAACTAAATATATTTTGTTTCAATTAAATAAACTAATTAAATTTTTATTTAATTTTAATACAATAATAAAATTAACAAAAAACGATAAGATTAATAAAATTAAAAATTAGTTTTGGATTATATTTTTTATCCAGTCGTTTTTTTAATAGAATTTATCATATTATCATATTATATTATCTTGCTTCTTCATATTTTAAAATAGTAAAATATTCACGATGCAAGTTTCCCAAATGTTTTGCATCTGTACCTTGATTTAATTATTTAAATATTTACGAAAACATGGAGTCTAATTACTGTGCCCATAGAGAAAATTTAATCAGATGATCGTCAGTACAGAACAGTTAATTGGTATTCATGCCCTTTTTAAATTTGTAACTATAGACAATATGTATCACCATTACTGACTGTTATCGTTATACAAAATTTTTGGATTGAAAAAAAAGTTTATTTTTTTAAAAAAAAACTTACTTTTACAAATAATAACTATCTATGTCTTATAATGACAATAAAGGTATAAGAAATGCCGAAAAAAAAATTTTTTCCACCAAACAAAAAAAAAATAACCCGAAATGAGTTTATTGTACGGTTAGATGATTTCTAAAAAAAAAAAAAAATCTATTTAATAAATTCACATTAGAGTCATTTTCGGATGCTATGGAAACATCCTCATTAAAAGAAATAGAAGGTACAGTAATTCAATGTATTTAAATATGAGAATCGTTTTAATATACTTATTTTTATTCACTAAAAATTAAATTTTAAACATGGAATCAGCTTCAACTAACGAAGGTAAATACATAAATAATTAACTAAACCACGAAGTATTGCAATGTAAACCAACATTGAAGGACCTAATAACTATAATATTTTACTGGCATATTTTATTTACTAAAAATTTTAAAAATTTGAAATATAGAATTAGTTTCGAATGATGAAGGTAAATTATAATATAAATAAAAGTATTTAACAATTATAATAATAATTAATTTTTATTCAAAATATTAGAAGGATTAGATGGTAAGAGCATTTATAAATTATTTAAATACTAAATTATGATATAATCTTAGTATTAGTAATTAATTTTCTCAACAATAAATATATTATGATGGAGCCAGTTTCTGATGCTACCGATGCCCCTACATTAAGGAAATTACATGGTAATGAGCATTTATTTTTTTGTTAAATCATTACTTTTTTAAAAAAAAATTAAATTTAATTGTTATTTTTTAGATTGTAAGCCATTTAACTTTATATATACTTATACAATTAAAATTTAATAGACATTTTCATTAACAATATCTAATGATTTATAATTTTATAGGGAGTATGTAATTTTTAATTCTTTATAAATAATATAAACATAACTAATTTATTTTAAAAAAATTTTAATTGTCATTTAGTCGGTAAGTTATTATTATTAAGTATATAAATTTCATTGATCTTTTAATAATAATTTAAATCCTATTAAATCTCTATTTAAAAATTATAGAACGTGAGTTATATTCATTTGAATAAACAATAATTTTTTATTTTAAATAATAAAATTAATTAATATTATTATTACAGAAAGTATTAATTAATTATACTTTTTATTGTAATTTAAACTCAACTAAATTTTTGATTTAACAAAATAATTAATGATTAATAATATAATAGTTGGTAAGTTATTTTTATTGATTATCAATATTTAATTATACATTTTACTGTAATTTAAACTTAACTAAATTTTTTATTTAAAATTAACAATATTACAAAGTAAGTAATTAATATTTATTGATTTTAGTATTTAATTATATTTTTTAATATAATATATAATAATTTTAATATAAAAAATTATATTTAATTTATAGAATTTATTAAATATAATAAATCTATTAAATTTAGTAAGTATTATACTTTATTTATAAAAATTATAATAAAACTTTTATAATAATACTAATAAATTAAAATATTTATTTAGAAAAAAGAAATATATTCAAAATGTAATAAAAAAAATACTGGATATAATTGGTGTAAAGAATATAATTCTAAATTTTTTAAATAAAATTTTTCTAATTGGATTAGTAAACATAAATTTATTGATAAATTTATTCCAGATATTCAACTAAATGCTAAAAATAGGAGACAAATATTAGAATGGATTCCTTATGAAAATTTTATAGATATTGAATATCTAGATAAAGGAGGATTTAGCACTATATATAGGGCTTATTGGAAAAATGGATATATTTATCAATATTCATATAATAATAAAAATTGGATCAGAAGTGATAAAATAAAAATATCTTTTAAATGTTTTAATAAGTCATCTAATTTAAATGAAGAATTTTTAAATGAAGTATGAAATTTTTAATTATTTTAATTTATTATATAATATATTTTAATTAATTTATAATATTTTAGTGGAAATATCATTATAAATGTTATCATAAATATTCAAATGAAAATCTTATTCAATTATATGGATTTACTCAAAATCCAAATACATTAAATTATATAATAGCAATGAGATATGCAAAAAATGGTAATTTAAGAAAAAATTTATTAAATATAGTTAAAAATAATTGGATTACTAAATTAAAACAATTATATGCTATTATTAATGGACTTGATGAAATACATCAAAATAAGCTTATTCATTGTGATTTACATCATGGTAATATTTTAAATATTAGAGCTAAAATATTATCTATCAAGTGATTTAGAATTATGCAAACCTGTTGAATATTTTAATTCATCTAAAAATAATGATATTTATGGTATTTTACCATTTATAGCACCTAAAGTTTTAAGAGGTAAACCTTACTCTTTAGCTAGTGATATTTATAGTTTTTCTATGATTATGTGGGAATTTATATCTGGAATTCCTCCATTTGATAATGAAGCTCATGATTTTTAACTTAATTTAGATATATGTAAAGGGAAACGTTTTAAAGATATTGAAAATATTCCACAATGTTATTTAAATTTAATGAAAAACTGTTAGGATAAAAATCCATTAAAAAGACCAACTATATTAGAAATTAAAAATATTGTTAAAAGTTGGTATAATAATATTAAAGAGAAAAATTTTGATAAAAATTTAAAAAATGAAATAATTGATTTTTATAAAGCAGATAAAGCATTAAAATAAAATCAAAATAATAATTTTAATAATAATAATAATTATACAGAATTTCATTCACAAGCATATCATATAAGTTGTTTACTTAATTTTACTGAAAGATTAAATAAAATCTTAAATTAAAATAATATAAATTCAATAGAAGCTAGTTGAAGTATTGGTAATTATTTTATGTTATAAATTAAAATTTTTTAAATATTTTTAATTTTATTATACTTATATATTTTTTTAATTTATAAATAATATATTATAATTTTTATTTAATCAATTTTTTGTTTTTTAAAGAAAATTAAAATATTTTATTATATTTAATTTTTATATATTAAATTTTTTTTATAAATATTATTTAATAAACATTACTATTTAAAGTATTTAATAGCAATTTGTAATTATTAAATAAATAATTTTTTTTATTTTATTATAATTAAATACTTAAATTATTATATATTATATTTTTATAAATTTATTATATAAATTTAATATATTAATATTTAAATATGATTTAAACAAATATTTTATTATAAATACTTATTAAATCTTTATATTTTATATTTTATTATATAAAATAATTATACATATTATTTTAATGGTTTTAAATTTTACTAGTCAAAATAAAAAAAAAATAATCAAAAAATATTTAAAAAAAGCAGCAGTATTAAATTTTAGCTAAATAAATAAAAATAATTTGCAAATTTAATTAAATTATCAGTGTATTTTGGCTAATTATTTGCTAGTTTACAATAGAAAAAAATTATCAATCAAAAATTCAGCTAATTTCAAAAGTATTTTAATAGATAAAATTATAAAATAAATTAACTTAGATAAGTAAAATACAGTTATTATTGATAAAAATCAAAAAATCATTATTTGACATTTATAGAACAAATTGGACTAAATTTAAAAATCAGTAATAAATCAGCCATCATATTTATAACTAATTTATGGCTGGTTGGAATAGAGCTAAAAATTAACTCCAATTGGTCTAACCAAATAATACCAAATCATTTGATTGGAAAATTATTTATAAAAATAATATAAATTATTCTTAAAAGATAATATAATTCATTCTAAATGAATGATAAAAATTTTTCTTAAGTGATAATACAAATTGTTTTAAAGGAATAATACAAATTATTTCTAAGAGATAATAAAAATAACTATTTATTTGGAATAATAAATACAATTATTCTATTTAGAATAATAAAATAATCATCCTAAAAATGATAATATATTATCTTTTAATAGAATGATAAAAATAATAATTTCATTAGAAATAATACAAATTATTATTTTGTTAAAAACAATAAAAATAATTATTCAAAGAGATAATATATTATCTTTTAATAATAATAAAATTTATTCAAATAAAAAATTTAACATTATTTCAATTAGATATAAATTATTTGATAAGAATAATCAAAGTATTATTTTTTTAGAATGATAAATCTTTATTAATAAGTATGATATAAATATATCATCCTTTTGAAATAATAGATGATTGTTTTTAATGAATAAATTAAAAAATTATTTCAAGAGAAACAATATATTATCATTTTTATAAAACAATCAATAAATCATTTCAAAGAAATGGTATATTATTATTCAATAAAAATAATTTATTAAAGAAATAATACATTATTATTCAATAAGTACAATTTAAAAAATTATCCTTTTGGAATAATGTATTATCCTTCTTATTAAATGATGGAATAATAATTCTTTTTTATTATTAAATATTTTACTTTAAATAATATATTATTATTCTTAATTAATAAAAATTATTACTTTTAAAATGATAATTATTCTTTGAAAATAATAAAATTTGTTTCTTTTTAATGATGATTGTTCTTTAAGAATAATTAAAATTATTTCTTTAGAATAATGATTATTTGATTAGAATAATAAAATTATTCTAATTGAATTATTTAAAATCTTTTTAATTGAATAATGTAAAATCATCTGATTTGAATAATCAAATCATTATCATTTAAAGAATAATATACCATTATTTGATAAGAATAATAAAAAATATTCAATCAAATAATGCAAATTCTGTAATCCAATATTATTTAATAAGAATAATAAAAAAGATCATTTCAATTAGACAATACAAAATTATCTAATTGGCTAGAATAATATTAATAAATAATATCTAAATTTTGGATTAATTTATTCAGTTTACAATATAAACTAATAAACTTTCAGATTAATCTTTCTTTTTAATAGGTTTTCCTTATTTTTTTTGTATTTTTTCTCATATTAGAAGAGTTTTTAATTTGATTTTCTTTTATTTTCTTTTTTTTTTAGTTTTTTTAAGAAAATTCTCATTTTAGAAATAAGGTAAATTATTCAGAAGTGACTTTTTGGATAGAATTTCTTTTATTTCTTTTAGGAAAATTCTTATTTGAAAATAAGATTAGTAAAATAGGAAGTAACTTTTTAGATAAATTTTCTTTTCTTTTTTTTATTTTTAAGAAAATTCTTATTTGAAAATAAGATAAATAATCAAAAGGTAGATTTTTATTTCTTTTTTCCTATTATTTAGGAAAATTCTTATTTAAAATTAAAATAAATAAATTGAAATAGAATTTATAGATAGATGTATTTTTTTTTTCTTGTTTTCTAAAAAAAATTCTTATTTGGAATTAAGTTAAGTAAATCAGAAGTGATTTTTAGAATGTATTTTTATTTTTTTCTTATTAATTTAGGAAAAAAATTCTTATTTGAAAGTAAAATAAATAAAGCAAATATAATTTTTTAGTGATTTCCTTTCTATTTTCTTTTTTTTTTAAAAAAAAATTCTTATTTAGAATTAAGGTATATAAATTGCAAATATTTTTTAGTAAAGATTTACCATTTTATTTTGTTTTTTAGGAAAATTATCATTATGAATTAAAATAAGTAAATGGTTGATAACTATTTAGTTGAATATTTGCTATTTTTTTTATAAAATTAAGATCAATAGTTGAAACTATTTCTTTCAACATTAATACTTTTTAAAAAACATTTAGCTAATTTGGTTATATAATTTGACTTGAATTATAAAAATCAATAGTCATTTATTACACTACACATAATTTAGTATTACTAAGACCTTCTTCTATTATAATATTTGACAAAATTTTATTTAGACATAAAATTTGAAAAATTATAATAATTTGATTATATTATTAAAATTATAATAATATTCTAATTAGGGTTCCTCAAAATCAAATCAAATTCAAATCAAATCAAATCAAATCAAATTAAATATAAAATTTTTTTTAATTATTATAATGATATATTAGAATAAACTTATTCCAAAGTTTTAATTAAGAAAATCATTAGTAATTGCACTAACAAAGTAAGTTTAGTAACAGTTGCATTTTTAATAAAAAAACATAATAAAAAACGCCTCTGTGGCTTCGGAAATGCTTTTTTTTACTAAGTAAAACATAGTAAAAAACGCCTTCGTGGCTTCGGAAATGCTTTTTTTACTAAGTAAAACATAGTAGAAAACGTCTCCACAGCTTCGAAAATGCTTTTTACTAAGTAAAACATAGTAGAAAATGCTTCCGTAGCTTCGGAAATGCTTTTTTTACTAAGTAAAACATAGTAAAAAAAGCATTTTCAAAGTCACAGAGGCGTTTTTTACTATGTTTTTCTTAGTTAAATTCATCTCTGAAGTTTTGGAGATAGTTTTACTATTGATTTAAATCAAATCAAATATTTGAATAGTTGATTTGAATTTGATCGAATTGAATCAAAGGTTAATTTGAATTTGATCAAATAAATGATTCTTTGATTTGAATTTGATCGAATCAAATCAAATATAAATTTGTATTTGTATTTGATTTGATTTTCAAATCAAATATTCAAATATCAAATCGAATTGCAGACCCTAATTCTAATTGAATGAGAGCAATAGTCATAAAAGAAATGATACAATTATTTTCAAAATAATAATAAAAATCATCCAAAAATGTAAAATACAAATCATCTCAAAAAGCACATAATCATTGTTAAAAAATAATAGAAATTGATTCAAAAAAGACAATTTTGTTATTATTCTTTTAGAATGATTTATTATTACTCTAAAAAATGATTATTCTTTTAACTTTCTTTTAAAATGATTATATTATTATTCTAAAAGAATAATTTTTATTATTATTCTTAAGAAATGATTAAATTATTATTCTGAAAGAATGATTTATTATAATTTTTGACAACTGATTTTATCATTCTTAAGAAACAATTTTATTATCTTTTAAAAAGAATGATTTTTATCATTGTTCTTTTGGAATATATCATATTATCATTAAAGATAAGCAGCATAATTAAGAAGTTGCAACTTGGTTGCAACTTCTTGTAAATTTATTTTAATATAAAATTCATAAATAGTTGCAATTAGTTGAATTTTAAAAATAATTATAAGAATCATCTTTAATTATCATTCTAAAATAATGAATTTATTATCATTAAGGTTGCTTGTCTAAACTCATTTTGGATTTGGCAAAATGGTTAAACCTTTAGTTTTGGTAAATTTTTTACTAAGTGTTTGATATAGTTTCGTTATTTTTATAAGCTTTGATATAGTTTTACCTTTTTTCAAATTTCGCAGATTTTTTAATAAGGTTTTAATATAATTTA